ATGGGGTTGCCCAATCTTTTGTACTTTTATTACTATCCTTCTTTGGGGGCTAGCTATCACAGGTCTTGGAAGTGATTCATTTCTGGAGCCATCCCTTGGCTCCAGTCATGTGGAGCTCTGCTCTTCAACTTTGCCCACTGGTGGACTCTCTTTGCTAAAACTTATTTACTTCCTCAGAAACCTTCTTGGGGTGTTTTTCCTGTACTTCTACTCATCACCTCATCTTGTTTCAATGGCCATGAAACAATTTCTCCTCCCCACTCTAGGGCTTTACTCCTGTCATTTTATCATTGGTCAAATAAATACCAGTGTGTCCCCACTTGACCCAGCTTTGGTCTTTCCTTGGTTCCCAATGATAGTTTCTCACTCTCCATTAGATATTCTCCACAATGATGGTCTGCCTGTCTTCCACATCCTTTTGTTTGTCTGTAATGTCAAACATTTGGTTCACAGTCCTTCCCTTCAAGCTGGCTAAAACACCATCGTGTTTCATTGGGTCTGTTAGGATTTTCCTTGGAGGTTATGTTTTGAGGCCTATTATTTCACTATTCTGTAGACAATTGCTTTCAACTTACTCCTTTCAACATTGGTTCCTCTGTCATGACCTCTACTTCAGGATTTGTTTGGTTTAGGTTGGCTGCTGAATTTCTCCATTTCAGTCTCAATCCTACCACCCTGTATTTTCTTCACTTAGAGGTTTTTCTTCATATGAGAAGTAGGCTAGACCTACTTTTTCAACTTTGTGATATGGTACTTTTGATACCAAGACTTTCACATTTCTTTCACTTCTTACATGAGCCCTTTTGGGGGGACTCTTCTCTTGAATCTCATTCCTCTAGGATGTGCCCTTACATGTCCTCTTTTGTGGTTTCTGGCTTGTTAATGTAGGAATATCTACAGATACTTTTTTTTCAACTTCTTGGAGCCCTCGTGGGTTTGGAAGTCAGTCTTTGGGCTTCTTCCTCTTACATATTTGTATTAAGCATATCACAGGTGGCACTTTGAGTTTGACACCAACCAGTTCTATAACCATGCATTTCCATTGCCTCTGTTCCAGGGGATTCAGTTTGGACTTCTTATCCTGCTTTGACATCTTATCTCCAGGAGATATTTCTCTGTCTCTACATTCTTGAGCTGGTGTCTACTTGTAGGCTTGTCATCATCATCTGTCTCATCTATCTTATCTTATGGTTCAGTCAGACACCTCTGTTGTTTCCTTCTTTCCCTTGACAGTGAGGCACTCACTCTCAGGACTCTGTGTTTTCCTAGTAATCAACTTTCTCTTTTGGGTCCACAGCCACTATGTTCAGTTGTTGATTCTATCATGGCTCGAAAGCTCAGACCCTGATGAAAGATTGAATATCTTGCCTAGGCCTGCACCCTTTCCATAGTGTGGTTCATCTATCCTCTGGTATTTTCAGTGGATTTTCTCCCACTATGGGCATCCTATCATCAGTGCCTTTTCATCTCCCCTTCACTTTCTTCTTCTACTCATTTAGTTTCCAGTCCCAGACTCTACAATTTGGCTGAGGGTGCTCTGAGTCTGGTGTGCTTCAATCTTCTTTTATATGCTTTGAAGACATTTTTTCCCTTTTGACAGCCATCATTCACTTTTGTCTTGGTCTCCTCATCCCATTATTTACCACAAGGACAGGTTCATCTTCCTGGACCTCCCCAAAATTTGGGTGATTATGTGTTTTCTCCATTCATCCTCCCTGAGCAGTCATTCTGACCCAGATTGCCTCCTTTGTTCTGTAAGGTCTGTTCCTTATTATCACATGGCTTCTCTTGCCTCAAACCATTGACATTTCCTGTGTGCGATCTTGTGGGTGGGGATATGTGGATCGTCTCCTTTGTTCTGTATGGTCTATTCATTATTATCTCATGGCTTCTCTTGCCTCAAACCATTGACATTTCCTGTATGTGATCTTGCAGGTGAGGATATGTGGATAACCATGACTCATTAGTGTCCCATTATTTACACCACAGGAAGGTTTCACCTACCTCAGCTTTCATTTCCCTCCAGTTGCCATTCTCCATTTTTTACAGTGGATCTGCTGATGAGTTTTTGTTGTTGTTTTTTTCCATTTTCAAGTATATCACAACCACATTATTCAACATATATATATATATATCTTATGTAGACAGTGTAACCCACCAAATGCCTGGTTGCCTCACATGGAATGCTTACCAAAAATCTGTATTGAGCATGGGAGTACAGAAGGTGTTAAGGCCATCTGCACTTGCTCAGTGCCACCTGAAAGAGAGAGGTTTTTCTGCAAGACTGCTTTGGTAGTGTCTATATATATATCTTCCAGGCCATTCTACACTTTAACAAAAAAAAAAAAAGACAACACCATGTGTGTGCCTGCCATCAAATCTGGCTTTCACATGCAGTATTAATCATGGTAACTCATTGTACTGTCTCTTAGTGTGGAACCTAATTTCAGGTGATTGTATCTTATGACAACAGTTCATGTACACCTCCAGTGTTCTCCTTAATGGAAAGTCCCCCCACCCCCATTTCTTCTAGTGGAGTACAAGAAAACATTTACTTCACCAGTTCCAAGCTGCTTGGGAAGCCGATATGGAGAGTTCCTCATCAAGCAGTGCAGTCAGACTGGTACAATACCTAGTGGATGCACCCTTTGTTTGGGAAGTTGAACTAGGATGTTAACTGGCAGTGCAGTACAGGGCACCCCACTATGTTATGAACCAAGCCATTCCCAGTATTTAGGTCTAGCTGAATGGGTCTTAGGCTCACCTCAGGATACAAGTCTGGGATGCTACTCCCTGTATCTGATTTTTGTGGTGAGAATGTGACATATTTCTTCAATATAGAATGGCCTAGCTTATAGCCATAGGCAAACTACACACTTTTGTTTTGCTATCTGCCTGTGCAGTAATAGACAATTGAATAATTTGCTATTCTGCCCAACTTAGTGACGCATTAACACTCAGCATAAGATTCTTCTGACATCTTTTGCTTTACCACCTATTGACTGAAGATCATTTCCTGCTTGAGATGGATGTGGTTCCCACAAATTGCTTGTCTTGTGGATGTCACACTCCATGGGCTTTCTGATGATGTTTTACAAAAGGAGCTCTTCTTTGTAATTTCTCTGCACTGGCCCCTCCAAATCATCAGTGTGAAGTTCTAGCTCGTAGTGATTCCAAGCGTTGTGTAGCATTTCTGAAGTTAACATTTTCCTTACCTGAAAATGTATTACAAATATATACTCTCCTCTCTGCACTACCTCCAACCCTTCCTTCCCACTTCTTGTGTATTTACTTTGCCTCATCAAGAACGAGCATGTGCTCGTGGTAATTACTGCACATAGTGGATGTATTGCCCTCTTATTGATGGAGGACTGTAGTCTAATGATGATTACATCATAGGCTGGCACAGTACACATTGTTATGTGTAAAGGTTGGGAGATTTGTTGAATACTTGTGATGTGTAGGAAATTACATAGAAACTTGCATCATGTAATAAATCTTGTGTTGGAGAGAGGTATTGATCTAAAGTACATTTTCTAGTAAGGAAAATGTTAACTTTCTAGGACTTTCCTGGAAAAAGAAATTTAACTACAGTTTTGAATATTTCTCTTTTGTGGCTTTCACTTGTGTTTTTCTTGTGCTTTGCTATTCTGGTTTGTATCTGCAAGATGCTTTTCTGGTTGACACTCTTATTATTCTAAGTCATTCTCCAGTCATCCCACCAAACATACTTGTCCTTTCAGCCGTGGGGGCATTATAATGTGATGGTCAATCTCAATATTTGTTGGTAAAAGAGTAGCCCAAGAGTTGGCAGTGGTTGATGATTACAAGTTGCCTTCCTTCTAGTTTTGCACTGCTAAATTAGGGATGGCTAGCGCAGATAGCCCTCATGCAGCTTTGTACAAAATTCAAAACAAAACAAAAACCTCATACCACTGATGCAATTATCTTTTCCATTTTTCTCTTAGTCTGAGATCCAAGACTTGCAAAAGCTTAATGTCAAATATTTTATGCACCTTTGATTTCCTTTTCTTAGGATCTTTGGGTTTTTCAGGTGCTTTAGACCTAGTTCCTTCTGTTTCCTGTCTATAATCCTCCTCTCTGAGCTGCTATTCTTGTTTCTTCTTTCAACATGACCTTTCATATTTTTTTACTAGAACAGTAAATTCTTAACCTCTTTTAAATAAAGTCTTTAAAAGTAGTTTAACCTGCTTATTCCTATCTCTTTTTTCGGAAAAGCAATAGATTTGCCTTAATTTAGAGCTCTGAGCCATCCCATTTCCACATGCAGAATTGTTTTCTTGATAGCTGGTTGGTGTAGTGGTAAGATTACATCGTCTGAAAATTGTTTTATACTTAGATTGTTTGTCAGTTGCCATGTGTTAGTACATTGGATTTTCTGAGGTTTGTTGTTGTTCATTTCAGCACACCGTTCGTTT